GGTCAGCGGGGCAGCCTGTGGTTAGACCGCGTTCCTTTGAAGGAGCTGGTCCAGTAATTGCTAGAGAAACAGGGAAACAGAGATGTCAAGCTCAGATCTGGCATCTGCGTGCCACACACATCACACCTGCTGGTGGTGAAGCCATTACCTTTTTGAAGACTTCAGCACGGAGTCTGTTACTCTGTAAGATCAACCTTTTCCTTTGTTCTTCTTTTTTCTTTTTAACCTCCGGCAAGTTATTATAAATTCTGAAAGGGATTCAGAAAACATTTTGAAGGGCAGCAGCACAGCCTGTGTCTGGTGTGGAGCGGTATCCTGTCCCGTCAGCAGGCTCTTGCATTTCAAAGGGAGGATGGCTGCAGATGGGCTCCCTCAAAGTCCTGAGATACCAAGACCAAGGGCTTCCCTGACAGTCCCCAGAACGGGGCTGCGTGGCAGGGGACAGCACCCACCTTGTCCCTGTGCTTCCCAGAGTAGTGCAACAGCAGAGTCCCACCACGGGGGCAAGGCTGGAGAGGCCAATTATGTATTTAGAGGTCCCTTTTTTTAGTCCCTCCAGTCTCTATGATATTAATAATTAACTACTTAATTATAAAGTGAGGGACTCTAAGCCTACTGCTTTATTATTCTGATTGTAAACTTATCCCCAAATACCTTTTGCCACTCGATTTTTGCCTTCTTGTGACTTAGAAAAGGAGCAGTAAATAAATGGAAGTAGCGAGAATTATAATACCAGAATGAAACACATACATATGTGTGTTTTTACCACGTACCTATTGCGTTTCTAAGTAAGCTGTTTCCAAATACATCCCAGGCATAAGTATTATGTTCTTATCCGGATGTAAAATTAGAAGCTTCCAAGTTTCAAGCAGGGCCCAAGGGATCCTTCTTCTGGACTCGTCTTTCCTACCACCTAACAGGAACTGTTGGGATACCGACACAACCATATGCCTGCTGGAATCCACCGACACTGCGGGGTCATTGAAACTTGAGCATTTGGGTTGCTACACACATGGCATGCAGCTAAAATTTCTCTTTTTCATTTTCTCTCATGTTTGAAAGCCCGACAAAATCTGTTTAAGATATTCCGCTATTAAAACAGTAAGTCCAAAGTATAAAAATAATGATGATGACAATATTAGCAGGTGACATCTTAGTTCTTGGGCACTAGACTTGAATTGCCTGACATGAACTATTTCATTTAATTCTCACAACAGTTGGAAGAAGAATACAGTGTGCCACCATTATATAAAGAAGAAACCCAAGCTTCGGTGAGATCAGGAGACTTGTGTAACGTCCCACAGCCAGCTAACGGTGGGCTGGGATTTGAACCATGGTCTGTTTGACTCTTACTTGACGACACTATCACCCAATCACATAGCACAAAGCTGCTCATGAGGGCCAGGAAATGTTCGTGCCTAGCACAGTGCCTGACACACTGTGGGCAACAACAAGGATTGAATTAATGCACAAATAAGTGGACACATAGTTGCCACATTCAGGATTGATTCTAGAAAGAACTGGGAGAGAAAATCACAAAGGGATCAGGAGGAAAGTGGACACGTCCCAAAGCTCCACAACGGAAAATTTCTTCAGATCCATATAGACCTCACTTCCTGCTACTGACCACTGAATCAGCTGGGGAGTTTAAAATAGAAACCCCTAGATCCCTACTCTGTAGTTGCTGTTCAGTATTTCTTAAAAGAACTTCCCAAATAAATCATGGTCCATCCATACAACAGACCACTCTGCAGACAGTCAAAACGAATGAGAAAAATATATGTTTTGACACCAAAAGGGCTCACAGACATGTTATGAAGTGAAAAAAGCAAGCTACCCAAAGATAATGTACAGTATGGAACCATTTACGGTTAGAAACCACGCAGTTGTATACGCACAAATAAAAGTCTACCTTAAGGCAGAGAAGGCCTGGAAGGAAACACAGGAGACAGGACTGGGGCTGGGAGAGTGAGGTGTAGGTGGGGGGGGGGATAGTCGGTCACAAGGGAACTTTAGATCTATCTCCATTGTTTGAATTTTTAAAATGAAAATGTAATTTTGAAACATAATTTAAAACAAAAATGCCAAGAAAAAAAGGCCTGGGGCTTGATTCTGTGGGTGAGTCGGGGCCAGAGCCCACCCAGGACACAGCCTGCGGAGCAGGGTGAAAACCCAATTGCTGAATCCACCAGAGGCGACCAGCTGGGATAAACCAATGACTCTGGTGCAGCATTCCCTGTCTTATGTGTCCTCTTAGAGCCTCAGTTTCCTCTTCAGTAACAGGATAGGGCAATACCCTCTGACTGCTAATGCTGCTTTGAGATCTATTACTCTAATTGCTTAGTTTGCGAGGCTCTATAATGGCAGCTTCAGGTTTGGGGACTGGGAGGGGGAGATTTGGCTGAATTTTTTCACTAAATTGAAAAGAGACTGCATCTGGCATAAGGCATATGCAACTTTGCACTTCTGAAATAGCAAGTCTCAAAACCCAGCAGTCCTTTAAAAACCCCAATTAGAACGCTACGAATCAGGCCTTTAATGGGGCATCTCCCTTCTCCTCACTTTCACTTCCTTATTTACAAGGAGGCTCCCTATAGATGATCTAAGTTACCTAATTATCATGAAAACAATATAATCATGGTAAAAGCAGATATTTTGTGCCTTGCATGGGGAGACAAGGATTCTTCCCATTTCAATGGTTTCTCTAAGTGCACTATCCATTTGATTTAATTATTATAATTCCTCCCTGTGCTAGATACTTTATTATAAACTAATGACATTTTACTTGCATGAACTTGGCCAACGCGGCTGAGCTATTACATTTTGGTTAGGAGGCCAGGTCTCAGAAAGAATGGCAGCCTTTGTGTGCACCAGATTGGTGTGAATTAGTGGGATTCTTGAATAGCAACCCATCAAGTAGAGTAGGGAGAATGTGCCGTAGTGGGGCCACCAAGCCTGTTGGACACGGAGTGCCAGGAAAACCGGCTTGTGGCCCCTCTGTGGCTCTGCTGGCTCCCATGTGCCACCAGCTTCCAAGTTTGGATCCTTCAGGCCCTGCCACAGTCAAGACCCTTGAGAGAAATAGCTTTTCTCCTCCTCATAAATTCACCTTCAAAGGGGCAGTGACAAAGAGCTCCTGCCCAGGGCGACAGTGAGAGTGTGCAGAAGAGTTCCAGTTCAGAGTATGGGGATCTCTCAGAGACCAATTACCAGATGGGTTTGGAATCCAAGACCTACCACTTTCCTAAGGTCCTTCCAAGAGCAGCATTGACATTCAGAGGCACATTTTGACAACTGCACTCATTTCAGCCAGTTTTTCAGGCTTATAGCCAAAAAGACCTCGCAGACATTAAACATGGGCCTAGAACTAATGGCCCCACTGGATAGCACCTGAGTTCAACAAACCACCCCAATTCCCCTCCCCAATTTCGTTCCATGTTAGGCAATAACCAAGTACCTTTTAGATCGCATATGCATCTCCTTCTCTGAAATGCACCTTTCTTTGGGTTTGAACAGGTTATCTGCGAAAAATAGAAAGAGGATTAACTTCAGAAGGTACCAAATATTGCATATTTCTCAAGAAGCATTGTGGTGGATTTAGTACATACTCTGTTATTGATCCTTAATCTAAGCCACACCCTGTTAGAAATACTGCAGGACTCAGTAGAGACTGATAACATCGTAAGTGGTTGTATTGACAATTGACCACCCAATAGGGTTGGTCTTAATGATAGTTAAATAAAGGCGTGAAGTATAATATTAACATATAACCTGTTATACTTTATGGAGAGTGACTTCTTCAAATTCTTCCTTTAGCAACACAGAGTCATAGTTTTCTGAGGAAAGTGCCAGAACATAGGGTCATCCCACCTACAGAAAAATCCCTACACTAGGGTTTTGAGGCCTCTAAGGATAAGGAAATCTCCCAGCTAGCCCTAGAACATTTTGTAAGAGAATAGTTTCACTGGTGTCTAGAGCCCTCTGTTAAGACTGCTCGGCTTCTGTAAGATGAAGGTCCCTTTCTGATGTCAGGAAAGGTAACAGACAACGACATAATAGTCATGTACACTGAGTATCTGTATCTGTTGATTGAGAAAGCACCCCGATAAAAATCACCACGATACTAGAATGCTTTTCCCTGTGAGCACACATAATTTCATCTACAGATGGCACACGTAGAACTGGTATGTGTTAAAAATAGTGTACATCCTTTGGTAATAACTGAAAAGGGGCCTTTCGTAGTAACTCTGAAATTTCCACGAGACTCTGAGCTCTAGATTAACCAAGGGTCGGCACAGGAAATGCCCCTGGCTGCGTGTTGCACGGGCTGTGTTTGAATGGCTGCCCCGGTTTCTAAGACACCTGGGCAGTAAGCAGCTTGCTCAGCAGAAGCAGATGGGGACCTCGGCTTCCTTGCCAAGCGTCACAGCGTGGGAGTGGGCTCCCCTCGATCCCCCACCAAGACCTGGGTGTGCTTCTATTTAGCTCCTCCCCACCCCTGGGGCCATCCGCCTTTCTCGTGGACCCGGTGCGACAATCAAAGACTTCTCAGGCTTGAGAATATGCCAAATTTTCCAGGAATATCTGAGAAGGTAGGATTGAGATGGGGATACTAAGAAATTTCTTTCCCTCTGGAGAAATATAACATGGCTACTGATTTACGATATGGAAAACAACGCAGTGTCTGAGTTTGTGTTCCACCTAGTCATTGAGTCATAAAAGAAAGGAATATGGCACCATCACTGAACTTCAAAGACAAGATTCAAAGGCGAAATAGGAAAGAGTAAAGAGAAATTGGAATGTTTCCAATTAAGGGGAAATGTCACCAGTGTTTAGAAAGGTGTAGGGCCATGGGAATGCCAAGAAGAAAACATTACTATGGAGACGTGTTAGGCCAAGGAGCCTCCCGGCGACCAGCCCTGGCCTCGCTCCAGGTAGGGCCAAAGCCAAGGGCCTCAGGAAAATCCCAGTGGCATTTCCAAAAACAGGGAATGTGAGCCAAAGTCAGTCAGGGTCTGGGGCGAGCAGGATGTGAGTATTTGAAGAGTCCCACTCAGACAGGGGAAAGAAACTTCACCCAGAGAATTAGACTCAAGTCCAGATTAGCATTTCTCATGAGCGGCTGGAGGTTAGGGTGAGGCCAGTGTGGACAGATGAACGGTGCCCTGAGGGGATAAAAACATCACAAGTTACATTTGCAAGATTTTGATCATCTCACTTCAGTGATATGTGGTCTACTCTGGGAAATCAGATTTTTTTTTTTCCAGTTTGTTTCTTCAGAGCACCTGATACCACAATTAAGCTTGAGGTTTTATTTCCAAGAGGAAACAAAAGCACATGTGAGCTATTCGACACCTCCACTGTTCTGTTTTCTGAACTCTTCTCGGCCTGCTGTGCCACAGCAGAACTTTACATTCCAGGCCCAGCAGCCCACTTAGGTGAAAAACAAACAGGTCTGTATCCAAGCGGACCTGCCCAGCTGCTGGGCTCGACTCCCCACCTTGGGGAAGTGTTTGCATGTTGGTTGCTGCTGACTTTGAGTTTTCATAACAGCCCCAAGACCATCTGATAAATGGCAGGGGCTTTCCTACCCTGGAGGAAAGAGACACAGAGGGAGTGGTTTGCAATAGAGCAAGTACATCGCCAACGGCTCCCAGCCTCACCAGAGCAAAGAGAACACACCTACGCTGAATGGCTTTGGTATTAATATTTTGAGGGAGGAAGCGGCAAAGGAGGGGGAGGGGCAACACTGTACACCCGAGTGGTCAGCATTATGATTTATTAATATCGTATAGTAACACTGCTAGCATTAATGGGATGCCTCCGCACATGATCGCGATTAATCTTCATGCTAACCCTGCGACGTGCTCATGGTGTTTTTGCCTGTTAGCGTCGAGGTCATTGAAGTTCACAAGGGCAGAGCGTTTGCCCCTCAGGTTCACACATAAACCCAATCACACAGTGAATGAGTGAGCGGCAATGCTGGGCTTCAGCCCAATCAGCCCAGCAGGGGCCACTCATGTTCTTGACCTCAGAACACTGCCACCAACTTGTGGTCACAAAATCTGTATTTTGGGAGTCCCGAACAAGTGTCCTTCATTTCCCACGAGACCAAACCAAAACTCGTTTGTCATATATTCCCTCTTTGTACATTTCAAGAGCAGTTACTATGTTGCTAGGGGATGCTCAGAGGGAAAAATAATACATAAGATCCTCTCTCCATGAGATTTCGCTTGTTGAGGGAGGAGCTGGCCAACTAACAAACTAGCTACAAAGTATCCGGCAAGTGCTCTGATGAAAATGAAACACTGCCTCATGGTAAACGGGACCACGGTGGCAAGAAGACCCCCCAGGGGAGGAGATCTTTACACCAAGACCTGGATGACGGTAGGAGCCAGCCATGGGAGGGTCTGGGAGAAGGGAACAGTGAGTTCCTGCGGCAGGAACTGAAAGAGGGCCATCATCATCCCAGCTGTAGTGGGAGGGAGGGGGCTGCAGAGGTGAGAGCTCAGACTACTGTGCTGGTCCACCCAGGTGACACCTTGCAGCCAACCTGGGGATTTTGACAAAGATTCCTGTGCACGGGCATTGGAATCCCAACCAGAATCTCTAGATGGTTCCAACATGTACCAGAACTGGGACGCATCATGTTGGGTTTTGCAACTCTGTTTAAGGAGCTTTGCAAGCCTATTAAGGAGTCTGCTTCCTGAGTAAGCAAGACGGAGAGCTATGTGGAGTTTTCAACACGAGATTTGATTCTTATTGCTAAAAGATGACTGCAGTGGCTCTTCAGAACATGAACTGGGTGGAGGAGACCCCGAAATGGCAGCAGTGAGACAGGACAGAGAACTGCAGCCAGGCGGGAGAAAGATGGCAGTGCTCAGGTGGCCAGGGGATTCGTGTACACTGGACAGGTAGAAACCGAGTTGTGGAGCAGGGAGAGATGAATCAAGGATGACTCCCGGGCTTTGGGTTTAAACAACACATTCGCTTAACAATTGCTATGCTTTTATCTCCTTAGTGCCAGGCAGTGGGGACGCAGAGATAAATAGACCAAGGGCTTGGAGCCCAGGGTGAGAGTGGATAAACAAGGCCTTTCGGTGCCAAGAACAAAGTCCGCACAGGGAGAAGGCAGGCCTCACGAAGGAGGGGTCAGGCCCCCCGGGGAAGAGGGGGACCTGGGAAGACTCAATGGCAGGAGACGGCAGAGCTGAGCTGCAAAATAGAGAGAGATGTTCCCCGATAGCTAGTGGGAGGTTGAGGGTGGGAAAAAGGGTGCCCCAGGGCCACGTGGACCTGCCTGCAGCAAGAGGAGCGCTTTTTCAGGGTTCTCAAAATACAGATTCTGCAACCACGAGTTGGTGGCAGTGTTCTGAGGTCAAGAGCGTGAGTGGCCCCCGCTGGGCTGATGTGGGCTAAAGCCCAGCTCTTTAAGGACGTGGACAGCATGACTCGTGGGGTTTCATTTCCTGGGATGGGAACCCAACCTGCATGAGCTTTGTTCAAAAATACAGTGAAATCCTATCTATAAATTCGCTTTCAATGGAAATTGTGCCTTTATAAAATTAAGGTGACTGGTGAGAACAATTTTCAGCCTACTTATGGGTCTTTTATAGATTTTCCTTGAAGCTTCATGGATTCTAATCCCCTGAAACAGAGGAAAGAGACTGCAGTTGTATTTACCTCCAATTATCATTCAAATAAAATTACTAAGGTAAATTGCCCATTTCTGTATTTCTGGAAAATTCTTTTCTCCCCCCTATGACTGTCTTTTGCATCTGGCTCATTATTCGATCCAAACTACAGTGCCTGCTGCTAATTTAATTGGGCAAGGCCGGGCTTCCTTAAGCCCTTCCCTGTTTCAGAGTCAGCAACCAACCAGGAATGAAGATTTTGGTGCTTCTAAGGCTGCTCTACACTAAGCCTGCTCTACTAAACCTAAGTTCTGACATCCCATTAATCTCAATAAACGCATGCGGGTGTCTATTACAATCCCCACATCACACACGTGCACACGCAGGGACAGGTGGCCTCAACATTCAGACCGCTGACAGCATCACCGAAAGGCAGCAAGGATCGCCCTGCCGCGAACGTGCTTGGTTGTTGTGAGGCTGGGGCTATTTTCCCTCCATGCAAAGCTCACAACTACAGCTCTGATTCAAAGCTTCATTTTCCCTATTGAACAAGTAATCTAAATGATAATCAAGTGCACACGATTTATTAGGACAATGCGCTCCCAGAAGCCTATTTTCTGCAGCCACTGTGAGCACTTTGAAGAATGTTTCAGACATTTGCTTCCCCTATCTTGGAAACACCAAAAACAAGGGCTGCCTGTTGGAGAGAATTCGACAGCGAGCCAACTAGCCAGCCTGGAGCATGGACGCCACATCTGCACCTCCTTGAATCTTCTATCAAACACTGGGCCTTTGCGAAGGAATGGAAATGGGGTGTGTTTTGAGGGAACCCCAGTGTGTGTGCACTCGAAGATCACAGGCTGTTCATTATGCCAGTTTCAAAGCCT